CGCACATTCTTACCCACACCTGTGGGCTGTGGCAACACTTCCTCAATTCCACACCGAGAAGGGACCAGCTGGGAAGGTAAGGTGCTGAGAGAGACCTCAGACTCGTTCTCCCAGAGAGCTGTGTCACATAGCCATCTATGCTTCTAAACCTCGTTGTTTTGGTTTTATTTTTATCTTTTTCAGCTTTATTGAGGTATAACCGTTAAAATTGTATAAATTTAAAGAGTATAATGTAATGATTTGATATATGTATCTATTGTAAATTGATTACCCCAATCAAATTAATTAACATATTCATCACCTTTTTTTTTTTTTTAATGAGGTTTAAGGTTTACTCTTGGCACATTTCAAGTATACAATACAGTATGATTAACTATAGTCACATCAGGCTGTACATCAGTGCCTCAGAATCTGTTCATCCTATGACTGAAAGTTTGTACCCTTTGACCAACATCTCCCCGTATCCCCTGCCCCCCACCCAGCCCCTGGCAAATGCTTTTCTACTGTTTCTATGAGTTTGAATTTTTTTGTCCTAAAATTTAAGTTTTTCCTACAGGTTTGCCCAAAAGGCTAACTGAACAAAAAGAACCTGGAAGGGGCTCAGCCATGTTCCCTCCACCAGCTTCCTGATTACACGGCATTTTCGTCAAGCAAAACCCAGGTACTCCGCGATGCTGGGCAGAAGGTGGCAAGCGTAGTGGGTAAGAACCCAGGTTCTGAGTCAGATGGCCAGGGGGAGTCACATGCCAGCTCTGCCACTTACTATCTGGTGACCTTGGGCAAGTTAGTAAACCCATCAGTGTCCTCATCTATGAAACAGGCAGAGCAATAGTGGCAACCTCAGAGTTGGGTGTGAAGCTCAGATGAGACAATTCATGTAAAACACTGAGCACAGTGCCGGGCACATAGTGAGTATGCAGTAAAAGCTGGCAGCCGCGATGATGATGGTGTCACTGTTATTATTATCATATTATCACTACTACTATAAGAATAATAGGCTGGGCACAGTGGCTCACGCCTGTAATCCCAGCACTCTGGGAGGCTGAGGCGGGCAGATCATGAGTTCAGGAGATCAAGACCATCCTGGCTAACATGGCGAAACCCCGTCTCTAATAAAAATACAAAAAATTAGCCAGGCGCAGTGGCGGGCACCTGTAGTCCCAGCTACTCGGGAGACTGAGGCAGGAGAATGGCGTGAACCCGGGAGGTGGAGCTTGCAGTGAGCTGAGATCATGCCACTGCACTCCAGCCTGGGTGAGAGAGCGAGATTCCATCTCAAAAAAAAAAAAAAAGAAAAAAAAGAATAATAATAGCATCATAGCATCAATATTGACCTGTGTTGTCAGAGCGGGATGGAATTTTAAAGATCCCCAAACCAGTGGTCCCCAACCTTTTTGGCACCAAGGGCCAGTTTTGTGAAAGACAATTTTTCCAAGGTCCAGGGGTCAGGGGGATGGTTTTGAGACGATTCAAGTGCATTACATTTATTGAGCACCTTATTTCTATCATTATTACATCGTAACATATTAATGAAATAATTATACAACTCACCATAATACAGAATCAATAGGAGCCCTGAGTTTGTTTTCCTGCAACTAGATGGTTCCATCTGGCGGTGATGGGAGACAGTGACAGATCATCAGGCATTAGATTCTCAGAAGGAGCACAACCTAGATCCCTTGTATGAGCAGCTCACAACAGGAATCTAATGCCACAAGATCCCACAAGAATCTAATGCCACTGCTGATCTGACCGGAGGCGGGGCACAGGTGTTAATGTTCACCTGCCCACTGCTCATTTTCTGCTGTGTGCCCGGTTCCTAACAGGGTCTGCAGCCCAGGGTCTGGGGACCCCTGCCCTAGACCGCTGCTTCTCAAACCTTATTCCAGCTTCACTCTGGACCGCCATGGCTTCTAGAGGGCAATGAAGTGTCCGCTTTCCAGCTTGTTCCTTTTGCTTCTCTGCAACTGCTGACCCTTGTCCACCAAGGTGCATTCAAAGTCTTTCCTCACATCACCAGATTCTCACACACGCCGTGTTTGGGGCAAGGTTAATGGGCGACAGGAGCTCTTCATTGTGAAGACCACAAATAGTTAACCAAATGCCCAACTCACCTCTTTCTCTCCCCACCTCCACTGCATTATAGGAATTTATCTGAAGGGAAAACATGGATTTGCTCAGCCTTCTTCTAGTTCATTTACTCATACTCCTACCTCCAATAAATGCTCTGGTAGTTGTTACCATATTTGAAGAAACGCTACAAGCAGAATTGTTAAAAATAGTAACAGAACAGCGATTTGTACCTTAAACAAATCATTCCAACAGATGGGACTTAAAGCATTTATTATCCCTCTCTGGTCTGGGACTTTTCAAACACTGCATTTCCAGCCGGCCAGACTGGGAGCTATTTGATAGTACCTCTCTGACCAATTACATACTAATTAAAAGACTTCAGTGTGGGCTGGAGGGAGCAGCTTTGCATATGGACTTTAATTACTGGGCTCCAGTTTTGCCAAGAAAACACAAAGGGCTTTTCTGGCTGGATGCTGAGGCTTAGAATGAACATATGGCTTGTGTGGGAGGGGAGGGTTGAGAGTGTAATCCTAAACAGGAAGTGGAGTATTTCCCCCCCTGTAATCTCCTGGAAGTAACTATGTACCAGGGTCATCCAAAATCCCTGATTCAGTGCCTGGAACAAAGGGCACCCTGAGCAGGCAGTGAGCTGCCACTCTGGACCTGTCATTCAATCCTGGGGCCATCTCTGGATCAGGATTCTTTCTTGCCCCTCTGGCCTTTTCCTGTTGTTTTTTGGATCAGAACCTCATGTCTCTTCCCAGGTTTCACAGTATTAATTTTTGGCTCCCCAGAATCCATTTCCCTGTCTCCTAGTTATGTCATCCCAGACTCCCCAATGCTCAAGGCTCAGGCAGGGCTATACCTCGGGCTCCAGGGAGGAGCATGTGGCCCGGTACTGATCATTTTAATCCCTCTGGCCAGAGTGTTTGGTTCAAGGATAAGTGTTCACCCTGAACCAATACAATCAGCATGACTCTCAGGACGTGTGTGGGAGCTCACACTTGGGTAGATGTTTCTCTGTGCAATTTGGGGACTGAAAAGTGATGACTGGAGCTGTGGCAGTCATCTTGCTGCCATAGGGAAGAGCAGACCTGAAAATGGAGACAACCCACGGAAAGGGAGGAGACACACACACACACACACACACACACACACACAAGCACTGGAATAGCATCTGAGGTCCCAGATTAAGCTATTGCTGAATGAATCCACTCACAACTTTTCGGTATTGTAAGACAATGAATTCCTCTTATGCTTAAGCTGGCTTCAGTTAGGTTTTCTGTCTATCTGCAACTAAAATCATCCTATCTGGTAGTAATAAGATCTGGTAGCAATAAGGGAGGCAGAAGTTAAAACAACAACTGTTGAACCTAACAGAGATTCAGCCTACCAAGAACACACTTGCTACAGCCTCTGTGGAGCCATAGAGACCTCGGCCAGAATCAAAGAATTCTAGAGGTGGAAGAGACCTTGGAGACAACGCATCCTGTTCAACCACCATTGCTGACTTTCTTTCTCTAAGTGGGTCTGTACCTGGAGGTCCAGGGAGGAAGGACGGCACTTAGTAAGCAAGAAGCAAACTCTTCTTCCCCTTGCTGCCTCAATGCCTTGTATGAGGCTGTTGCTCAATAAAACCTTTTTGCCTGAACATTACAGACCCGGTCACCAATAACCAACATCTCTCTCAAACATGCAGCTAGTAAGCAGCCTGCATTTTTTTCTTTCTTTCTTTTTTTTTGACAGTATCTCACTCTGTCACCCAGGCTGGAGCTCAGTGCTGAGATCTCAGCTTAGTGCAACCTCTTCCTCGTGGGTTCTAGCTATTCTCATGCCTCAGACTCCTGAGTAACTGGGATTACAGGCACATACCACCATGCCCGGCTAATTTTTGTATTTCTAGTAGAGACGGGTTTTCACCATGTTGGCCAGGCTGATCTCAAACTCCTGACCTCAGGTGATCCATCCATATCAGCCTCCCAAAGTGCTGGGATTAAGGTGTGAGCCACCATGCCCCGCCTGCTTTTCTTTTTATATGGCATGTATCTCTTCCAATAATTCCCCGAATGGATTATTTTGACCTCCTACAGCAGTTTGTCTCTCCTTCCTTCTGTTTCTTTGCTTAACACTATCTTCTCATTTCTTTCTATTCTCCATTTTGCCTTTTCCTTTTTTGCTCAAAACCTTTCTTTACTTCTTTATCCACATTACCTATAGGCACTTAAGAATCTACACATTGTTCCCTTCTCCATCCTTTAACTTCTACTGCAAACCATGAATTGCCTACCCGTCGTCACCCATCCTTTAACCTATCCTCACACACAGTTCGACTGCATTAAAAACAGCTATTTTTGTTTACATCCTGTCCCCAGGCAGACACACACACACACCCCTAAAATCAATTTCTCACAACTGAGTTATCGACATCTTTAAGAGAGCCAAGGGATATTTCTTCCTAGAATCAGATCTCACAGCCACCCAAGATATTTTTACATAGTTCAGGATGGTAGTGGAAAGTAAGTCTAATTGTCCATTTCTCGCCAACGCCTTGTAGGACGTGATCAGTTATTTAAACTTCCTGTGACTAAATTCCCCCTATTTCTGCGACAGATTAATGCCATTTGACAGCATATAATGTTAGCCAAGTTCTGGTAACACACAGAGGGAAAGCTTCATGTAAACATTAAGCGGAGTTATTACTCTCTGGAATCCAGTATGCAATTGGCACTCCTTAAGAATTACAATTATTATTTTTATATTCCTTTTAGAGTGTCTTAGGAACTTACAGGTCTTCAGAGAAAAAGCTGTGTGATTTTGGATGAGAGTCACAAGCTCATTTGCTCTCTAGTCCAAGTGAAACCTTTTATTAGAACTTTGGACTGGGAAGGTGGAAAGTTAATTCAAGATATAAAATAAACAAGTGATACCTTGAATCTATGCAGCCTCCCATTGCAAAAATCAGCAACTGCTCCCACGTAGCATTTAATCCTCAGTGCCTTCTTTTACTGGAAGTTGTTCTGATACAAATAAAGAAAAATTTAAAGAAAATGTACGATGGGTACAAATTCTAGGCTTCCTTTCTTATTCCCATTGTTAATATAACTCCATTTAGACAAGTTCCCTAGAAATCTTTCTTATTCAACTTCAAAACTGTGATTAATTATAGAACTGAAAAATATCTACCTTTCCCAGCCTCACTTCTTTACTCTCTTTGGAAACAAGTCTGTGTACCTTCTCAGACATCCTCCACTGCTTCCTTCTTCTTTCCTCTCTAGGCCAGGATCCCATCTGTCCTGGGTGCCCCTCTACCCCTAATGGTCTGAGGTCCAGCTTCCTGAGAGGCCACTGAGAGGGTGGGTGATACAACCCTGAGCCCCCATGGAGCACTTTACCAATGAGAAACAGCAGCAGGGGTAGAGTGGGAGAGAGGCGGATTCCTGTTTCCTTCTTTCTCCCGCTATGCTGAGGCCAGATTCCTCCCGTAAATTACCTGGAAGAGCCCTACATGCTGAGTGACCTGCTTGATCTTTCATGGCTTATTTTGAAATGGTAGCCAGCAGAAAAAAAAGAAAAGGAAATAAATTCATGTATCTCATTGTCTCTCCCTATGCCCCACACACACTTACCCTGGGATTTCACCTCCCAGATGAAGTTTTAGCACCAGGGTCCTTGCCTCCGACTCTGCTTTCTAAAGGACCAAAGCTAAGATGTTTATTTTCCCTAGACCAGCATTTTTCAAGGCGTGATCTGCAGACCGCCTGCATCAGAATCCTCTGGGGTACCTGCTAAAAAGGCAGATTTCCAAGTCTACTTTAGAGATTCAGATTCAGTAGGCTTGTGGTGAATCCTAGGAATCTGCATTAACAATCTCCAAAGTTGACTCCTAAACACTATAAAACATGAGAACCCCTCGTCCAGGTTCCTCCAGTATCCCCCAAGCCCTGCAAATAGGACTTTGTGGTTGCCCAGACTAGAACTGCAGCACGTGCCCCTTTATCTCTCATTCTTGCCGGGTCCTGCTGATTTTACCAATGCAGTATCACCAGCTTCTACATCTGCTCTCTGTTCTCCAATCCCACTGTCCTCATTTGGGCTTATCTCCTATTACCTGGACTATTATCAAAACCTCCTGAATAGGCTCCCCAGTTACCTTCCAAAACATCACAAAAATCGGGGATAAGATTGCAAATTTCCTAGAGCATCTAGAAAAGTACAGTATAAGAAGTGGGTATGCAAGATATCAGAGAGATATATGAAGTCCCTGAGGTGATGTGCCTTCAGCTGGATACAGTCAGGCCTGTGCTAGATTTGTGATCCTGCCCATTTGCTGTATTCAGGTCTTACGTCATCGCTACACTTGCTTTACTGATCATGACAACATGTATGGTCAACTCCATGTGAAGAGAAGTCCGCTCATCTATATCTGTGCAATCCTATATCTAATGGGGCACACTGCACACAATGGGTGCTTTACATGGGCTACTGACAGTCAAGATAACAGGGATATAAAATTCACTTTCTTTTTTTTCCTCCCTTTCAACCATCCCAGACCCATATTACTCAATCTCCCTTCCAAACTTGATAAACACTTCTAACATAGCTTGAAAACTCTCCTAGGCTCCTTTCTGCATGACTTTGGCCAAAATCCATTTAGGTGCACCTGTGTTCTGTTTATTTCCTTCTTCACTGTCTATTCTTTCTGACATAAGAAACTGAATGTTCTTCCTTGTTATGAGGACACAAATTATATTGCTTAACTGTGATAATTATAACTAACATTTCTTAAGCATTTACCATGATCTAAGCCCTTTCCAGGCATTTCTTCATGTAGTTCTTTTTTTTAAGACAGGGTCTCACTGTTGCCCAGGCTGCAGTACAGTGGTGTGATCATGGCTCACTGCAGCCTCAACCTCCTGAACTCAGATGATTATCTCACCTGAGCCTCCCAAGTAGCTGGGATCACAGGCACATGCCACTGTGCCAGGTGAATTTTTTTAGTTTTTGTAGAGACAAGGTCTTTTATGTGGCCCAGGCTAGTCTCGAACTCCTGGGCTCAAGCCATCCTCCTGTTTCAGCCTCCCAAAGTGCTGGGATTATAGGTGTGAGTCACTGCACCTGGCCTCATTTAGTCCTTTTGACAGCCCTAGCAGGTAGGTACTTGTATTGGCCCATTCTCATGCCCAAGACTGGGTAATTTATAAAAGAGGTTTAATTGACTAACAGTTCTGCATGACTGGGGAAGCCTCAGGAAACTTACAATCATGTTGGAAGAGGAAGCCAACACGTCCTTCTTCACATGGTGGCAGGAAGGAAAAGTGCCCAGCAAAGGAGGAAAAGCCCCTTACAAAACCATCAGATCTCATGAGAACTCACTATCACAAGAAAGGCACAGGGGTAACTGCCCCATGATTCAATTACCTCCCACTGGGTCCCTCCCATGACATGTGGGGATTATGGGAACTACAATTCAAGATGAGATTTGGGTGGGGACACAGCCAAATCATATCAGTACTATTTTTATCCACCTTTACAGATAAGGAAACTGAGACTTGGAGAAATTATAACTAGCCTCCAGAAAGTCCTGGAGGTTGTCTGATTACAAGGTCTAGGATTATAACCATTCTGGCACCTTCTTTTCCCACTGCCTGATGAAACAGTGATTTTCCACAGTGTAGCTACCAGATATGAACTTCTCAAGCTGAACAATTGTCCATAATCCACATTCATGGCTGACGGAACTCACCCCACAATGAAAGCAGGTTACTGGCCTCACAGTCCTGGTCCTCTGCCCACTCTCAACCAACCTTCTGGTTTTTGCAGATCTACTCTGCCGTCCCACTTGCCACATGGTTCCGTCATTTCATTTGACAGAATGACATTTCATTTCTAGATAACATATGCAGTCTTCATGTTTGACATGTCTTGCAAGTATTCATGCCACATCAAGCCAGGAGCTCATTTCCCTCCCAATATTTCTTCCACAAACATCCTCCAATTCCATCTACCCCAAAGCCCTGCTTCACACTCTCATCCTGGCATCTAAACCACAACAGAAAAACGCCTCACAGCATCCCAGTGACTCAGAATCCCCACGACAGAATCCTATGTGGCCACTTGACAGTTTTCTTCTTTGAAATCCCCTTCTTAATTAGCCCTCAAATCTCCCAGTGAACAGTTCTCTCTTCTCAGTAACTCTGTGGGGACTCCATATGTTTTTCTGTATGCTTCTTTGTCCTTCTGAGCCTTTAAAACTAACCAAGATTTGAGCTGAAGTGTGAGGTTAATTAACTGGCTTTGGCATGCCACTTGATCCATCAAGACATAGGCCTATCCCCCTATTTTTAACAGGCCTGAGTCATCCCATGATGGTATGCTCTTCCTAGATCCTTAGGTGATGGTAACTGCCCTCCACCCCAAGCGTGATTTAACCTTTAAGCTTGGCTTTCCAGCTATCTTGGTCTCCCCAAGCCTGCACACCTGGAACCATTCACAAAGTGGTAGTTGAAATTTCCACTAATTCAAATGGAATGCTAGGGATGGAGGCCATTGGGAGGCCCTCAGCTTATCTCAAGTCACAGGGCAAGGAGCAGTTCTAATCTAAGAACATGTGTCAACAAACCTAAAGAGTGCCCACTGGGGGCAGAGCCCTGAACTAGATGAATTGGAGCAGCCCCACTATGTATATGGTTGCCCTGAGGCATGTACAGACATCATGGACAATGCTGTGGACTGAGTCATGTCTCCCCAAAATCCACATGTTGAAGTCCTAACCCCTAAAATGACTATTAGTTGACAGGGTCTTTAAGAGGTAACTGAAGTTAAATGAAACCATAAGGATGAGGTCCTAATTCAATAGGACTGGTGTCTTTATAAAAAAAAGAGAGAGAGAGATTGAACTCTCTTTCTCCACCATGTGAGGACACAGCAAGAAGGTGGCTGTCTGCAAGCCAGGAAGAGAGCCCTCACCAGAAACTGACCATGCTGGACTTCCCAGGCTTCAGAACCATGAGAAATAAAGTTCTATTCTTTTAGCCACACAACTTAATAATGTTTTGTTATGGCAGCCTGAGGTGACTAACACAGCAAACTCTTACAGCCACATCTAGTCAACATGGCTGATGGGAAAAATCAGGAATTCAGAGACATTACTTTCCTAATATGCCTAGCCACTCTACCTGGAAAGTAGCAAGCAAACTGGAGAGAAACACATGTGAAAATGATTCCATCCACCAATTAGCATTTATGGAATATTGTGTACCATTAAAAATTCTTTTTGAACAAAATATATTCATTTTTGTTTATAAATGCATGGAAGAAAGATCTGGAAAGGTATACCCTAAATGAATAAAGTCTGATGGAGTAGAGAGTGGTGACAACAACAGTGGCCTGTCTGGAACAGCCACTGCCATGACACTGGCTGCAGTGAGGGAGATGCAGCCAGGGCTGTGCACTTCACAGAGTCGGTGGAAGCCAGGAACAGGCAGGAGCTCCAACCCCTTCCGAGTTGGAGGGATGGGAGCCCCACCCTCCCAGGTGCAGCTGCAGCCACCCAGCCACAGCTGTGGACCTGGGCATCTCTGCACTCTTGGGGGCCTCGGAAGGCTCCTTTCCCCTGCAGGCTCAGAAGTGCCTACTCCCGCTGCCTGGCCTCTCCTCACTCCCAGCCTCTGCACCAATTTCAGAGTGAAGCTGAAGCCAAGCCCAGGCACTGTCACAACCCAGCACATTTGGGGTAGTGCTGGCACGCCAGCCCTCTGTTGCTGCAGCCCCCTCTGGACTTTGGGTGCCGATGAGCACAGGAGGGACGCTGAGTGGGTTGTGAGGGCTGCTTGGCGAGGGCCTACAGGCACCCCTCAGCATGAACAGCCTGGGCATCATGGATGGCAGCAGGGGGCAGACAGGTTCCCAGCCAAAAAAAGGTGGGTCCCCAGTGAAACCCCACCTTCAGGCCAGGGATGGCCTGGGGGCCAGGCTGCCGGTTCTGCAGACTGGAGTGAGAACTTATGGTGCGTTTTTT